CCCCAAAACCCGAAAACCCCAAAACCCCAAAACCCCAAAACCCCTTATTGTAAAATTATTGAGAATCAGGCGTAATTATAAAATATTAATAGAAGTTTTAATGTCAATTTTATCATAAAAGCTCAGCATATATCTGCTGTTGGTTCTTATAGCAGGAATTATATTGGCAGAATATGTTCCTAAATATGATAATCGCTGTTGGGGTTGCTTAATGGACGAGGATTTTGAGAATGTGTATCTTTATTGCCCAGGCGATAATCGCTGCTACAGTAGTGTCAACGATACTTGCCCTACAAACTTTGCTTTTAATGCTCGTGATTGTTAAAACATTCCCGCTTAAGCCACAAATGCTTGCAGTTTGCTAGAATATAAAGACGGGACAAGGGATAAATTGACAAGATATCAAGTCAATTTAACAGTAGATGCCAATACTGGTTGCTAGTTCTAGATAAATGGAACTGGATCTTGGTTATAAATAAATTATACAAAACCTGTGAAAGTTTTTCTGAATCCTTACTTCCCAACGATGTATAATTCATTTCAATCGCTTCAAAGTGGAAGGAACTACTCAATTGGGTTCGACTATGACATTTATCTAAATGATGACTTTCCAGATAATTTCTTTGTTGGAATTGTGAATCCAGATAATACTCCTTAAGTTGTCAGAGCTATAGTCTATTAACAAGGAATAACGAATAAATTGAATGCATTATTTTTAGGCTTCTTATTAATATTTGGGATGATTGAGAGTATTTATTGAAATGTTTTTGCAAACTGCAATTAATTCTAAAGACTGATCTAGGATGATATAATTATTCACAGAAAAGCACTGAAATTAGCTTTTATTGTATGGTTTAGCTTAAGTTAATAATAATAAATTTCAGTTAAATATTGATTAAACAGTTTATAATCAAATTATTAAGCGATTGATCTGATATGATGTATTCATAATCATTCCATTGAAGGTGGAGTGAAGGTCTCTGCGCACTTTTCATGGAGTGGCATACCTGAATATCCAAAGTTAGTGGTGTGTGCTCTGAAGTCTGTATAGGTACAAATTTGATCATAACTTCCTCTTGTGTACCAGTTTGCATCAAGACAAGTGCTGAGCTTAAGAGGCATACCGTTGTGAATTATCTTAACCTTAAAGCATGATTCATCTCTCAATGAATTGACACAGTCAGTATCATACCATAACTCAAAGAAAATTGAGCTTCCATAAGTAACATCAACGAAGTCATGACCAACTGGGTGAAGCCATTCCAAAATATTGGCTATTTAAAGATCATGAGCAGAGTAAATGAAATATCTAAGAGAGTCTCTAGTTTTATCTCCATCATTAATTTCATTCATTCTATTGTGCATATTCATCAAAGGATTTCTCATGATTTTAGTTGCGAATATCTTTTTGTATTCTTAAGGAAAAGTTAGAGATAATGCCCATTTTTATGTATTTCTCATGTAAAACCATTCTTCAGCTGAATAGCTATATCTTCTTGGGATTCCTTCTTTATCCTCAGCCAATTGAGAATCACTATAATCATACAACTGGGGATAGCTCAAACCCCATGCTTGGTCGTCAGTTAATCCATAAGCAACTTGAATTGGCTTTCTTAGGACAGGCATTATATAATCTGCAACTGGCTCATAAGTATCATTTCTAGGGAAAAGATAAGCATCAGCTTCGTCGATTAGCTTACAGCCTCCAGTCATTAAATCATCTGATTCATCAGGAGTTTGATAATTGAATACTGGAATATATTAAAATCCTTCCATTGGATCTTAACCTGGATCTACAGTCTTGCCTTGATTTCTAATTTTGAGCTTTGGCATTCCTTTTCCGCTTTTAAGACTTTGCTTTTCACCATCATTTAACTTAGTTTTCTATGAAGGTGGGTAAATTCCAATGAGTTCAGCGTAGCTACTTTGAATTGTTCTGAAGAAATTTGTAGACTGAATATAAATCTATGCTGGATTGTAGGTATCATCAAGCAAGCCTATATCAATATATCTCTACTTGTTTAGAGATCCCATCAGATATCTCTACCTCTATCCGCTAGCTGTAAGCATACCCTCAGGCACCATAAATTGATCTTTCTAGGCTTTTTAAGGAGCTCTAGCACCATGTCTAACTAGTTCGAATACAAATCCAAGTTTATCAGCTGCCTAAGTCAGCATTGAAAGTGAAGAGACAAGTAGGATTAAATGATCTATCTTCATTGCTTTTAGATTTATTATATATTTATTATAGGATGCATTTACTTCAATCTTGATACTAACTAAAATCATGGGGTTTTGGGGTTTTGGGGTTTTGGGG